TGGCAGTTCAAATCCACCAGCCACTCCTCGGAAGGAAGACTGGGCAATCTACTTCCGTAGTGATACTGCCTTGGAAACCCAAGGAAGGGTCGCTATGAGTTGCATCTGACTCCATGGCAGTGAGTGGTTTTGGTTTTTTATGTAACATACACACATACACATACCCCCTCACACACTCGGAAAGTGCTAACAGAGAACAACATAAAAACCAGTGCCATATTCTGTGTGTTTTGTAGGGTGTGTATATGTTCTTGGCAGGTCCCTTCTCTTTATAGTTCTTTCCTGCTCCTGCTCCTGCTCCTGCTCCTGTTCCTGCTCCTGCTCCAGCTCCGCTTATTAGAACAGATTTCTCCTTTTGTGGGCCTTAAGGAGATCAATTTCTGTGATCTATGAAGATCTGTTCAGCTGGGACATTCAGTCCATGACTGCATCTTTTATAACCTCGTGTACATGTGAGATGGAGGCCATCAGAGTTGGGGGAAAGATGAGGCTAATAAGGGCTGGGGCAGTCCAGAAAGAGCTAATAGAGAAGCTGGGATTGGAGGTGCACTTGAAGGAATTGAGCAGAATTTGAAAAGGGGGCAAGAAGGAATCAATTGTATTTTGCCTTTTGTGATAGTGGAAATATTTAGTTAGTAAGACTACATCTTACATTCCTGTATATTATTTGAGCAGCAACTTTGTTAATCTTTGCAAAGATTATTGCAGATGATGAGAGAGGATACAGTTTCCATTATAACATTTATGTTCACATAAAACTACCCATTTTCAGGTGACTAGAATTATCAAATTATCAAATTACCTACTTTAAAGGAAATAATGGGAGCTCTGGTAGCATAGTGCCTAAGGCACTGGACTGCTAACCAGAAGGCTGGCAGTTCAAACCCACCAGCCACTCCTCGGAAGGAAGATGGGGCAATCTACTTCCATAGTGATACTGCCTCAGAAACCCAAGGAGGGGTCACTATGAGTCAGGTTCGACTCGACGGCACATAACAACAACAAAGGAAATAATTATTTAGACCTTTAACAGTACTATAAATTTAATATTTAGGCTTTTTTCCTCTCTTTTTAGTTAAATACAGTAAGATTGTCTTGTTATTTTAGTTGTTTAATGTTTCATTTTAAAGTCTAGTTGGTTGGCTATAGATGACTTTGTAAATGTTAATTTTAGTTTGGACAGTGAACGTGTATCACTTCCGCAATTAGAAAGCTTTTTTTTTTTTTTTTTAAACATCCTTAAGTATAGTCAGGTTATTCATTCAAATAAAACTAAATTAGATTTAAAAATTAGGTAATTTATTAATCTGTTCATTAGATTATTGAAGAATTTTTCTGTTGGAACTTTATTATATAGACTACTTTCAGCACATGTGACACATAAAAGGGAACAGGAAAGATCAGAAAGGAATATGGAAAATCTAGAGAGTAGAAAAAACAGGCGATTAAAGAGTAAACTCTAAACTGAAGACAGTCCAGGTTCTTTGCCAGACGAGTGGTTTCTCACCTCTGCTACAATACAAGATATTTCTAAAATTCATTATTTGACATAGACATACAAGCTAAATTGAGTTTTCCTGTTTTTTTTTTTTTTTTTTTCTTCCTTCTAGGTGGATTCCCATTATTGTCCCAGTTGCTTAGAAAATATGCCATCGGCCGAAGCCAAACTGAAAAAGAACAGGTAAGACTAGGATCTCCTTTTCCTCCGTTCTTAAACTACGTCATTTGTAATAGCTAGTAAGAAAACACATGGAATTAATTATCTTTTAACTAACTGGTTTTCATTTTTTTAGCATCACCTTTGCTAAAGATAAAATGCCCTTCGACTGTTAAAAAAAAAAATTTAAATTTCACAACAGTTTTGGATATATAGAATTGTTGCAAAGGTAGTACAGAGAGTTCTTGTTTCCCCTACACTGGTTCCCCTATTGTAAGCATCTCATACTTGTCGTAATTAAGGAGTCAATATAGGAACATTATTATTAACTCCATGTTTTGTCCAGTTTTCCTCAGTTTTTCCCTAATGTCCCTTTTCTATTCCAGGATCCCATCTAGGATCCACATCACACTTGTAATCATGTTTATTAAGTGCTTCTTGGCTGTGGTAGTTTCTCAGACTTTGCTTGTTTTTGATGGTCTCTCAACAGTTTTGAGGATAACTGGTCAGATATTTTATAGATTTGGGATTTGTTTGAACAGAACTTATCTAATGTTTTTCTCATGATTAGACTGAAGTAATGGGAGACCACAGAGTAAAAGTGCATCTCTCAGCATATCATATTGAAGGTACAGACTATCAGTATGACATCACTGTTGATGTTAATTGATTGCCTGGCTTGAGTAAGTGTCAGGTTTCCCCACTATAATTTTTTTTTTCCTCTCCCTTCTCGTACTGTACTCTTGGAAGGGTAGTCACTATGTGCAACCCTACTCTTTTTTTTTTTAGGACTTGGGTGAAGATTTACAGAGTAAATTCACTTTTCATACAGCAGTTCACATATACTTTGTCTCATGACATTGACCAAAATTTACAATGCAGCAGCTCCCCTCCCACTTCCTCCCCATAGTTACCTCCTCCCAGTGTCCATCCCTTCATACTCTTCTGCACCCTGAGCTATCTCCCTGTGCATAAGCAGCCCTTCCTTCTCCCATGATTGTTCTCTCCAGGGCGTGTGTCTACTTGATATGTGCAACCCTACTCTTAAGGAGTGGGGAATTAATTCTTCCCCTCCTTGAGGGCTGACTACCTACATAGATTATTTGCATTCTTTTTCATGGAAGATTTCTCTCCCCATTTGTTTATTTACTCAGTCCTTTACTTATATGAGTATAGACTCATGAAGATTTGTTTTATACTTTGGGTTATAATCTCTCCTCCCTGAGAAGAGAACAGAAAATCCTGAAAGTGGATCGCTTCTGACCCATTCTAGTTTGATATTATTGTCTGGTATCTGTTTTCAGTTCTCTGGTGCAGCAAGCAAGCAATTATTTGCCAAACCCAGTTTCACAGCTTATTGTATTGTTGCCTCTCAGTTTTCTACCATGTGATTGGTCTGCTGTCTCTAAGCTGTGGTGTTTCTCTTTTCTTCTGAAATCTTTCTGCTTTGTATAAGCATAAAATAAGTCTATAATAGTAAAGTTCACACCGTTAATAGTGTACTCTTCTGTAGGAGTAAGCTTGGGTCAGCCTCTAATTCTTCTGAAGCTTTGGTGATGATTGTACTTTTATTTTTTAATAATCTATAATATTGGTATTTTAAAATAAAATTGGTAAGAAGTCCCGAGGAATACTTCTTAAAATTTCTCTTTTGTTTGAGAGCCACTCTCTTATAGTTTGTTCTTTCTTGAATTCTAACATGTAGAACAGTGTCTGGCATGAAGTAAGTGCTTGGAGAATGCTTGTTGAAACAGTGAATTGTTTTGTTTGCCATGTTACAGATGTGCCAATTGCTTTGACTGTCCTGGCTGCATGCATACCCTCTCTACCCGAGCAACAAGCATCTCCACACAGCTGCCAGATGACCCAGCCAAGACCACAATGAAGAAAGCCTATTATTTGGCCTGTGGATTTTGTCGCTGGACGTCTAGAGATGTGGGCATGGCAGACAAATCTGTAGGTGAGTGAGGTGAACTTCAACATGATATTTTATGAAATTGATAGGACTATTATTGCCCACGGATTATTGTTTCTGCTCCTTTTTGGAGTGGTAGGAGCTAACTTCAGAGTGTTTTATTGTTAAATCTTCTGTTTTTCCATATTCTCATATTCCTAGATCAGGTGGCTTCACCTGAGATAAGTAATACTATTAGTTTTCTTAGAGTTGGTAAAATAGCTTTCATAAATCTAACATTTTGTTAGAATCAAACAAAATATCAGTGCTCATCATAAAAAAAAAAAATACATTCCTGATGATGAAAGGCACTGTGAACAAAATTAAAAGATAAGTAACAAGGTAAGAAAAATATCCGGATCATATTTAACACACTAAAGATGGATAACACAATGTGACCCAATAGAAAAATAGGCAAAGGATATGAACAGTAGCTCTCAAGTGGAAATAAAATGGTCAATAAATATGCAAAAAGATATATTTAACTTCCATAGTAAACAGGGAGATGCAAATTGAAATTTCATCCATCAATTCGGCAAAAGTTATAAAATTAGTAGTAGTGAATATTGGCTAGAATATGGGGAAATAATTTTGTCTAATACACTATTACCTTAGGGAGCATTTTTTGTTTACTTTAAATTGTGATTTGGGTGAAAATTTGCAGAGCAAATTCACTTTCCATACAGCAGTTCACATATACTTTGTCTCATGACATTGATTACAATTTACCACAATGCAATAGTTCCCCTCCCACTTCCTCCCGATAGTTACCTCTTCCCTGTGTTCATCCCTCCATGCACTCCTGCCCCTTGAGCTGTCTCCCTGTGCATAAACAGCCCTTCTTTCTCCCATGATTGTTCTCTCCAAAGAATATATCTACCTCAGATAAATGTTCAGCTCATATGCCTGTCTTTTGTTTGGCTGGAATCCACAGGTATGGGTTAAATTCCAGACCTGAAGGGCAGCTAGGGGCCATAGTCTCAGTGGTTCCACCAGCTCTGTTAGACCATCAAACCTGGTCCTCTCCCCTTTTTTTTCCCCCAAATGATTTTAAGTTTTGTTCTACATTGTTCTCCCTCTCTATCCAGGATCACCTACATAGATCCATCTCTGAGTGGTTGACAGTGGTAGCAGGGCACCATCTAGTTCTAGTCTCACAATCATATAGGCTGCAGATCGCATGGTGTGCAGTCACTAGGACTAATTGTTTCCACGAAGCTTTGGTTTTCTTCATTCTTCTTTGCTTTGGACGAAGAGAGACCCATCGTTGGATCTAGATGGCTGCTTGCAAGCTTTTAAGATACCAATTGCTACTCGCGAAAGAGGTGGAACAATGTTTTGTGTAGTATGTTATGCCAATTGAGCTTGATGTCCCTTGCGACTATGGTCCTGAAGCCCACAGGTTCAACTACTCGGTCCCTCTGGGTAGCTGACTTGTCCCTTGTCAGCTCTACTATACACCTGGGAATTCAGATCATACCAATACACTTCTAGGACCATTGTCTGCCGAACCTATACATGGTCTTGAGTACACTCCTTGCTTCACAAACATACCTAATAGTTCAGCCTGTCCACCCATCTATCCACCCGTATACCCATGTTTGCCTTCACTGACAACGCATTACTGTATGTGCAAAAGGGTTCATCTTTGTTGTCTATACCTCCCATGTACCTCTCTATGTCTTCCTCTTCAGTGCCACCATGTTGATCACTCACATTTGGTACATTGCCCTTCTCTTCACCCAAATCACTACTTACCTCTACCTATCTAACAGTGTTCCTTAGGGAGCAATTTGATAACATCTATTAAAATTTTAAATTGCTTTTATCCTTCTGCCCAGAATTGTTTGTCCAAGTATCTACCCTGGAGAAATACTCAGATGTGTTCAGAAATACATGTATGTATGTATATGTGTGTGTGTGTGTGTATTTATGTATGTGTATATACATATATCTAGAAAGAGATTTATAAGTGAAACAGGAAAATTGTGTAGTTGGACTTAAAGACCATTTTAAGGCATTGTTTACCTCTCCAATCATTTGAGCATTTTAGGAGAATGTGTTTATCTTTATCAGGAAACCTTTTTTTTTTTAATATATACATTTGCTATGTTGCTGTTGCTGTTAGTTGTCCTCAAATTGATTCTGATTCATGGTGACCTCGTGTGCAGACTAGAACTGCTCCCATAGGGTTTTCTAGGTTGTGATCTTTTGGAAGCAGATCACCAGGTCTTCCAAGGCACCTCTGCATGCGTGCAAACCAAACCCCAACCTTTCTGCTAATAGTCAAGCAGTTAGCCATTCCTGCCACCCAGGAAATCCATGGTTAGCATCAGAGAGATGAAACATTCTTTATTCAAAATCTTGAGTTGCTATTTATGCTTTGTATAAATAGTAACATCACTAACATCCTATTGTCTTTTTTCCTTATTTTATTGTTTAATTTTCTCAAAACTTTTGTAAAAATTCCAATTTTGGATTTTCATAGAAATTATATCAGGAAGTCCGTAACAAACTCATTAGATGTTATTTGACATAACTAAAATGAAGATGGATTTTGGTTTAAAAGTTTCTATAGATTCTTAAGCAATTTGGAGGTAAATATGGGTGAAGTTTCTTTAGATTCAAATGTATTCTTAGAATTTTAACCCTTGATTTTATTGAGTTTCTGCTTTAATTTAGAATGCTTATACTCTTGATTGGTTTTCTAGCTTAGTACATTGTATTAATAAAAATACATTGCAAAAACAGCAAGGAGGCCATATGTTCTGACCTCCTCTAATTCCACAAGAGGAAGACAGGATTACCAGCAGTAACCCAAGGCCTATTACTGCAAGGCCAGACATGATGCCTCCTTCCAGCCCTTTTCCAACCGTTCCTCCCAAAGCACCCACCACCTCTCTCCTGGGTTCACTAATTCACTGCAGTGGCCACACGCAACTCACAGATTATGAGGTTTATTAGGGAAGCACCAGACTACAATTCAAGTTCAGGAAGAACGCTCAGTCTCTCTCCCAGCCCACTGTCCCTCAGCCAACAGTCTGTCTCCCAGCAGTCCGTGTCCCTCGGTGTCTCACTCAGCAATGCCTGTCTCTTGCGTCTCTTTC